CTTTTATTATGAATGTACTATAGTTTCATATAAATAATTAACAAATATTTTACCATACAAACTTTCCTACATCACTTTCTACTCCGTCTAAAAGGCAGTCACTTTCTTTCCAAAAATAAAAGTTCTATCATCAAAGCCTAGCAAGAAACATAATTTTATTTCAAAATTTTATTTCATTCCATCAACAAGTTTATGATCCAGACACGCGGAAAGGATAACATTACTGGCAAAAACTGTCTGAACGAAAACGCCACAGAGGCGATTGTCACAAATTTATGTCCAGTATGGTAAAGGTTTAGTTATATTTCAATAATGAAAAAATTTATAAACACAAATAATCAACGAACCATTGATATTATGTTTTTTTTCATTGCTTTATAATATTATGTTATGTTGATGTTATATTAAAGAATAAAATATGATTTTACTATGTTGTTGACTACATTTTGATAAGATTCAAGTTTTATTTATAGCAATATAAAGTATATTTACATGATAATTAGATTCGATTCATTTAAAACTAGTTATTTATCAACTATTTATGGTTCTTTAGGATAATCGACATGTCATAAATGGATTCAAAAGCATGATACTACATAGGTAAATCGAAACTAGAAATATTAAAATTTGGAGAGTTCATTAGAAATCTTGTTCATCTTTTTTATTTTTTTATTTTTAAAAAAGACGATGTCAAAGTATGACTATTCGAAAAAGTTCACCTATCAAATGCTTGAAAGTGTTATTTATTAGGGTAAATTGTATATAATAGCAAACTATAAATTCAAATTAAATGCTATAAATATACTTTGATTTAATTGTACCCTATAGCAAACTATTGCTATTTCGCCACTCTCCCTGTGGAATCTTGCTCTCCACGCTCGTTTGGTGGCAGTCTCGCTCGCCTCTCTCGCTTTTATACAAACACAAATGTATAAAATGTGTTTGTATTTGTATAAAGAGAGAGGAAATTGTATATATACATATATTTTCGTTCCCCTCTCTCCCCTCTCCCAGATCTCGCTTACCACTCTCCCAAATCTCGCTCGCCACCCTCGCCTCTCTCGCTTATACAAACAGAAACGAAATATATAAATTGCGCTTCTGTTTGTATAAAGCGAGAGAAAATTGTATATACACATGCAAATACATATACCTTCGTCCTATACACTTATAATTATACAATACAAATATTTCTCTGCCCAGTTTTCTTTTGTCTTTCTCTCTTTCTCGTTTTATACATACACAGATTATACAATTGATCTTTTGTATACAACTGCTTTCTTTTGTATATGTATAGCGAATTATACAACTGCCTTCTTTGTATATGTATAACGAATTTTACAACTGTTTTTTTTGTATATGGATAACGAATTATACATATATATGTTTGCTATTGGAGCGCAATTATGCAAACTTTGCTATAACATACAAATATGAATTTTGTGTTTGCTATATGTGAAAGTTGCTCTTTATTATCAGCAATCTTATTTTCAGTATATATTCAATATAAATTGATTGATACTGATAAAAAAAAAGTGAAACATACCAGTCGGAAGCTCACCAAGGCAATTGAATATTTGAAGAAGAATTATGACTAGAACGGTAACACCTACTATATATACTGGCTAGATATGGCATTTTCGAAACTAATGAAAAAAAGGTTGAGATATTATGAAGTTATTTTACTACATAATGACATTGTTTACGGGATGTAAATACCCCAACAAATTTGCGTCTTCCTAAAGACGGAGAATTAAAATATTGCGAATTTCGTGATGGCTAAAATGTTCACTTTGATTTTATGGGAGTTTAATAAATATTGGAGTCGTATATAATGCCATTTTATCTATAACTGTATATATTCTCTACTTTGATCCTCAATAGAAATTTAGGTTTGCTAAGTTATGCTTTTCGAGGCTTAATCCTGATATTGATGGTGAAAAATATTGGGTAAAATTTATAATCTTGATAAAAAAGTACGTATTATATCTTCGAGTACAACCTCATTATAAGGAAAATATGCCTGGGGTAGTGGTTGCAATGATATAAGGAATGAGTTATTATTGAGAATGAGTTGGAGCCAAGTACACGTAAAACACAACTAAAATTGTGTTTGGAGAAAACTAATATGAATCGTAAAATAAAATTGAATTCAGATGTAATTGGCTTTTGAAAAGATAACATAACTAAATATCCAGAATGTCATATATGATATCTTGAGTGTACCTAGCTGTCACCACAATAGCATTTATATGGAAGTTCTATTCTTATTCCTGCAAATGTTGAGACAAGGGATTGAGTTCGTAGACAAAAAAAGGTAAATTAATTTAGTTAAAAGATAATTGTTGGTAACTTTATTGAATAGTAGCTTTAATTCGTAAGTAAATCTTAAAAAGTTGCAGTTCATCAAAACATATTACAACATTCTATGATAGATAATAAATCAGCTTATAAAATGAAAAATGCAGATGGTTCATTTTAATTAAACTTGCGACTTCTTTTATCAAAAATAGGTGTGATTTATTGCATTATTAATTGATCATTATATTTAAGTTCAAAGGAACAACTGTTTTAAACCAAGTTGATCAAAATGGAACTTTAGAGGGCTGAAGTGCTGTTTCATTTCCACACGTACGTGGTGTTAACTGTTAAAATAATAAGTGGTCTGATGTCACATCACACGGCGTCTATCCAATTGAATAAGTGGTACGGCATTTATAAGATAAAATGTTTTTTTCATCCATTTTTACGAAATCGGTGAGGGAAAAAGACGCATGGATGGTTGAAAATAGATTTTCATTGAAATATTAAAAATGATCATTGAATATGAAAAAACTATTCAATGAAAAAGAGTATTTTTTTAGCAGTGTTTATTGGGTAAACGCTAACCAAATCATCACTAACTTTTTTTGAAAGATTTTTTAGAAGAACAAGACAAGGTTTCCATTGTTAGGATATAGTAAAACATGGTGTAAAGTTTTATCATTTTCTTGTCATATCAAATCCCAAGTCCTTTGTGACGAAGGAATTATATTGTATATGTACTTTCAGTGTAGGACTACAAGAGGACCAATTTGTGACAGTATGTTGGGGACTACTGCTCTAAAGAGTGAGATAATAATCTACATCAATTATTTAATTTAAATCAATAGATACATTGAATATGTTAATTTGCACATAAACTTTTCATATTCAATCATGGTTAATTAACATACAGTCTCACTTAATTAAGTAACTATAGTAAATTTATATAATTTGACGCAAACACATATCGCAAGAACATGGAGTCATTCTCACCTACATCACTTTTTTTTTATAAAACAAAAATCGAGTGATTTCCATGTCATTCTTTTGTGCATTACCCATTTTCTACACCTCGACCAGAACCTAAAAGTTAGATATGACACCAAAAAGAAAAGGGAAATCCAATTTTTATAATATAACTAAAAAGAAATCACTTTTAAGTGACAAGGAAAGTTGTCAAGATTTTTATTTTTTTTTAATAACCAAGATTTAGATGATTTCAGTGTTGGGAAGTTTTAATGACTAAATATCTCTATTTCTATTACTCTACCCAACTCATTTGTCAGAGTTCAAATCTTCATAATTCACAGTGCACGTGCACACATGTTAATTGCCTTGACAAATGACAAAGGCGACATGCTCTTTGCTTCGCGTACTATTTAAAATTCGATGAATAATAAATTTGTTCACTATTTATTTAGATTAAAGTATTGGATACTTTTGTCTGCAATAAAATTCAAATTTATAATCTTGCGCCTAACTTAAACACCAAATTAATAGTGTGGTCTTTTCTTTCTACTCATCGCGCTCTTCATTTGATGACTAATAATGGAGTCATAATAAAGTCAGCAAATAAATTAAGTGAATGGATCGGCCACCATGATTTTATGTAGAATCACTTGACATATTCTACTAATTCTTTTAACTTTTGCTTTCTCCTATTTTTTTTTCTAATATAAAGTTTGAAGATCATGAGGATCACTTGAGCAACATTATTATTTTATTAGAAGCTATATAGACTTTAGAGTCAGCTTTATAATTAATTACAAGGAAGACTGCATTATAGCAAGACAACATGAGTAGATATGTGGGCCTAGAAGTTAATATAAAATTCTTGCAAAGCTGAGATGATGACTTGATTAAAATTTGTGTTCCTCCTATTGTCTGCCAGAGCGTTCAATGGAGAAATAAAATATGACAAAAAGATTGTATTATTCTTTTATATATTTATATATACACTTATCTGTCTATTGGTTCCTTGGAGTACCAAAAGCTCCAAAAAAAACTCAACTCTATAATAATGCCTGGCTGAACTGGAAATTATCTGTTGTTACTTTATAAAGGGGACATATTATCTGTCTTGCACACCATGAAAGTCATACCGATGAAGTTTCTTCAATATTCTTTATCAATAGTCCGGTGCACTAATTAAGCTTTTGTTATGCGTGAGATTTTAAAAAAAAAATCGAAACACTAACGTTATTCTCATATATGTTAATAACTTTATTAGTTACAGCATAGCTCTTCTTAAATATTCTTCAAAATAAAATCATAATCCTATTTTCTTGAATTGGCAAGGGTTTTCTCTTGCCAAATTCAAGAAGACTCTAATTTAGTCAAATGTATATGCAACTTTGGCACAATTAGAAAATATTTGATTGAAGTTGAAAAAACGAATAGCTGATGTTGGAATTTGTATTAGACCTGATCAATTTCAATAGATTAGAAAGTATTTGTCAAATTATTTCACTTTAAGTATTTCTCAAACAAGACTTTTATTCCAAGTTGAAGTTAAGATAATGTAGACAAAATTTCATCAGTCTTATGCACCTTCAGATTGAACTATTGAAACATTAAAGATCATTAGTATTTAACAAGCAAAAAAATAAAAACAAAAATCAAATAGTACTATTTAAAAATAAAATCTATCTTCCGATGAGTAATAATTTATATATATTATATATATATATATATATATATATCTTGTTTGAGTTACAAGAAAGATTCCTCTTTTAGCTGGAATTCATCAATTTTGTACATCAAATTATACACAAAAATATTCAAGCACAAACCACAATGAAATTATAAAACTATAATCAACTTATCTGATACATAAATTTAAAACTCACCTTTAATTTAATTAATATTTTCTTGGACGAATCATATATATGATCTAAGAGGACTCAGAAACAACTTCGCCGCCATCAACTTCTCTACGGTGAAAATTCCGGTGACATCCACATGCTGCACAAGTAAGGGCGGCGGTTCCATCATCTCCGGTTGCCATGAATTCACGGCAGCCGTCGACAGCGTAGCCTCCGATATTTGCCGCATGGTTCCTTTGACATTCAACGTATCGTATGTTCCTAATCGTCGATGATCCACTGCTGATCCTTCTCACCACAACTTGTCTTTTTTTCATCATTTTTCAAATTATTAAAAACCCCTAAAAAAAATAATGAAAATTATTATGGGGAGATGACTTTATTGAAAATTTTGATCCACTCTCTCTTGTATTCTGAAGTTAAACCTAACCCTAGCATCTCAATATATACTAGCTAGTAGCTTTGCTACTTCTGTTCATCTTTCTTGATGTTATACTAAAAGTTAAATTCTCTTTTAAATAACTATTTTCTCTGTTCCGATTTATATGACTTATATTTTGAATCAGTCTAAAAATTAAAGAATGATATATTACTTTAAAATGCTCAATTTACCCTTAAATATTTATGACTTATTTTAAATCATAATTTTTAAAAAAATACTTTTTTCTTAAATATTGTGTTAAGATGAGTTAAATCATATAAATTGATACAGAGAGAGTAATTGTCAAATCTAAATTTTAAAATTAAAGCAAAACTATAAGGTTATTTTAACCATAAAATATCTGATTACTTAAATAATGTGTCAAGTCAAATTAAGTCAGTTGAATGATGCATGTGGAGTAGTTTCAAATTTATAATAACATAAAGAATGGAAAAAGGAAAACAATTTGGAGAAGTGGGGGTAGGAAGATAGTGGCCTTTTTAATTTCAATGATTGTTTCAATACTCTTTTTGGTCCGAAAATTAGGCAAGATTCTCCGATCACACACATACTACAAATTTCACCTCACCATTTAAAAGTTGCCACATCGTGTAAACTTTTAGACTAAGTTTTTTTTTCCTATTCTTTTTTCTACTCGTATCTCTAAGTTTACTTTTTCGAAATTTGGGACGAGATTGGTTTGTCTTATAAAGTTGGACATGATGTTGGTGGCCGGGCCGAGAACGGGTCAAAGATGGGGAAAAAAGACATTTTAGAAGATTGAAATTGAAGTAAAAGGTAAAGAAGAATTTAAGGCATAATACAATTTTACATGCCATACATGCATTGTAGGCTTGAAGATGTCGTACTTCAAGAGATAAATCTATGAGGCTTGTTAGACCAAAGCGAAAAAAGGAATAAATTTAGAACTTATTGAATCAATGCAAATAATTATATATTATGAATTTAAGTCATAATTACAAATTTGATATTTTTTTGTGAGATTTCATCGTAGGCCATTGAAACTAGATTTCTTTTTAGTGCTACGTGTGGAGAGAAGTTAGCTATTTAGCCCCCAACGTATATTTACAAACTCTTACTTACCGGTAACTTGGGCTAATCTCTTGAAGGTCTTTAATCTTTCTCTATTTTGTTTCATAGTATTAAAGTTAATAAGAGAATTAGGGGGCTAAAAAAGAAGACTAATCTGCTTTTTCTATTTTTATTTTGTGACCAAGGAAACCTTTTTTGTTAGGGAAGATTGTATATAATAGCAAACTATTAATTCAAATTACATGCTATAAATATAGTTTGATTTAATTGTACCCCATAGCAAACCGTTGTTATTTCGCCTCTTTCCTGGTGAATCTCGCTCGCCACTCTCGTTCTCTCCCTCGCCTCTCTCGCATTTTATACAAACACAAATGTATAAAATGTGTTTGTATTTGCATAAAGCGAGAGAAAATTGTATATATACATATATTTTCGTTCCCCTCTCTCCCCTCTCCCAGATCTCGCTCCCTCACTCGCTTCTCTCACTTTATACAAAAACGCAAATGTATAAAATGCGTTTGTGTTTGTATAAAGCGAGAGAAAATTGTATATATACATATATTTTTGTTCTCCTCTCTCCCCTCTCTCCCCTCTCTCAGATCTCACTCACCACTCTCCCAAATCTTGCTCACTCACTCGCCTCTCTCACTTTATACAAACACAAATGTATACATTGTGTTTGTGTTTGTATAAAGCGAGAGAAAATTGTATATACAAATACAAATGCATATATTTTTGTCCTATACACTTATGATTATACAAATATGATCTTCCCCTGCCCAGTTTTCTTTTGTCTTTCTCTCTTTCTCGCTTTATACAAACACAAATTATACAATTGATCTTTTGTATATGTATACCAAGGCAGATTATACAACTGTTTTCTTTTGTATATGTATAGCGAAATTACACAACTGCTTTCTTTTGTATATGTATAGAGAAATTATACAACTGCTTTCTTTTGTATATGTATAGCGAAATATACATATTTATGTTTGCTATGGAGCGCAATTATACAAACTATAGCTATAGCATACAAATATGATTTTGTATTTGCTATATGTGAAAGTTGCTCTTTTTGTTATATGCTCAATTACCCACCTAATTTTTGTTATCAGATTCTAGAGGTTGCAAAAACAAATCCAAAATCCACTTAATTCGTCATGGGTTATTGATCCGTCCATTTATTAGCTCAATCCATTTCAATCTAACTTATTTATGTATAAATATGTAACCCGTATTGGCTCATGAGAAATCTTGTAAAAATATTTTTTAAAAACTTTTTTTTCAATTTGATATGTTATATATAGTCATAATAAAGAAAATAATAATTTTATTAGTTATTAAAATAGTTTAAAAGAAACAATAAAACAATTAAGTTTAGTAAAAATTGGGTTGAGTCTTGGCCCGTTATATAATCTATTACCTGACCCGTTTTGACCCGTGCAAATTTGGGCTGGGTAATTGGATCTTGACCAGATTTTTGTCTTAACCGAGTATGATCTGTCCAAATTTGATTGGACCTATCCCATTGACACCCTATCCTAAAGCTTTATGGCGCAAACCTCCACAAGGATGTTGAGTCGTCAAGGAGATGGCCTGGAGAGTAAATGTAACGCTAATGACGGAGAAGAGTCCGATGAGGACAAATTGAAAAGAAGGGCCAACGGATTAATAGGCTAGCAAGCTTCTACTACACATGACATATAAGCTAAATAATCCACATTGAAGTGATTTTTTTTTTAAAAAGTTTTGTAAAACATAACACAAGTTTACTTGGTACATACGCTTTTAGCTTAAGCTGAATGATGACATAGACTAAAGAACAAATTAAACCGGTGATATTTGTTGGACCAAAACAAATAATACGTGCAATTAACTTCATGAGTAGTTTTTATTGTTCGTGGAATTACAAGGGCAGCAAGAAGCACATCCATAATAGTATTGCACTATTTTATAACGTTTAAATCTTCTTCTTATTTTCTAATTAATCAACAAAGCAGTAAGCTTTTTATTAGAATTTCCTTGTGGTTGATGTTAATTAATGATGGAAATCTTTGAATGAGGGTTTGAATTGATCGTTCAACTGCCTTAATTAGTAGTCTATATAGAAAAGAAAGGTGGTGATTTTTTTTGCTAATTAGTTCGTCGTTAAGCTAATGGAAATTATTTGCTTTAGGGGCCAAATGAAAAAAGTGATTGATTTACGTGCTAATTCCACAATATGTAGGTCCTTTAATGATGCTTAAAAGTCAGGTTACTATTTGCACTATGACAACAACTCTTCTATTTTTCTAGTAGCATCCATAATCCCAAATTCATTAAACTCAATTTTAAAATTCTTATTCCAAAAAAAAAAGCTGTTTCATTATTTGACATAACACTAAATAATGCATGTATCTAAGTGTTTTTTAAATTATTTAAACCAGTTTAGTTTCGTAAGTTTTCTCAACTTGGGAGCCAAATACATCTCTTTCCTTATTCTTGGTTTTATTTTGTAGCATTAGTTTTAACACGCTATCACTTAGACTTTCCAGCTAAAAAATATCACATGCTTTGGATGGATGTTTCTTAATTATTAATGTTATAATACGCTTAATATCACAAATTTCAAAAGTTTTATAATCACACTACACATATTGTTAGAGCCAAAACCACAAGTTCTAAAAATCTTTTTGTGTTTTTTTCTTAATTTACACTTATACTCTTATTCAACAATGTTGGAGGTAGAGTTTTAATTACGATTAATAACTTTAATTTGATCAAAACTTATGTATTTGTGTTAAGAAACCATAAATAATCACATACGTTGAAACAAAAGGTTTAACACTCACAATGGCATAATTAAGTATATATTATGAAGGATTTGAAAGAAAATAGATCGATCAATGGAAGTTGAAGGAGCTAGCTAGTAACAATTTGCTCATAAAATTGTGATTGGAAGCAAAAAGAGGTGAAGTTGTATATGAATAATGGATAGAATTGAGAAGCATCTCAACCATAGAGGCAAAATAGCTGACATTCACAAAAAAATAAAGAGAAACATACATTTTCAAGAAGCACATGCCTTTATCAAATAATATTGGACGAAGTGTTTTGCTTACACAAACTGGAGCCACTAGAAAATCATATATTCAAGAAAAATCATAATGGAATAGTCCCACTTCAATCCCTACATACAAAAAAAAACACTAGCATCTGCTATACTGCAAAAAGAAATAGGAAAAAAACACACACAATACAAAATTTTAAAAGAAACGTAATTGTTCCAGATATGTAACGTACCTTATATAATAGTGGGAAATTATAAGTACGTTATTGTTATAAAATTTATAATAATCTTTCGTCAATTCTGAAAAAAATGTGTTAGTCATGAGGCAACCCAAACAGTTCCTCCAGTTGCAATCTAGTACTCCATATAATTTAGCGAATTGTTGGAGTACGACATACCCTTAAAAATATTTAAGAATAAAAATTAAAGATTACTTTCCACAATTACTTTTTTTATTATTCCAAAATATTCTATTAGAAAGTGTAAAGTAATTAAAAACTTCATTAAAATGAAGGGTAAATATGACAAAAAGCCACAACAATTGTTTTAAACTTTGAAAAAATCATTTATTTTAAACTATGAAAAAAATACTAACAATTCACTTAATATATAGACCAAAGGAAGTACATAGTTATTAATCCCTCTGTTAAATTTTAATTGTCCAATTTGACAAATCTTTAAGGAGCAATAGATATGAGGGGAAAAAGGTTTGTTGTATTCCTTTACTTTGTCCTTTAGAGCTGATATACGTTTTAATATAAAATTGACTCATACATATTCTTACCGTTACAAAAGTG